CCCCAAAACCCCAAAACCCCAAAACCCCTTAAGTAAAATTGACGATTGAAAGTCTATTTTTCAAGCTTGCTTGCCTAAATTATTCCTAATATTGCATGAACCCTGCTTGTTTCCCAAAGCAACCCATAGCTATACTATAATCTCTGTAGCTTTGTCTTTTAGAAAGTAGAAGCCTAGTTGTTTGTGAAATATTTAGTCCTGAAGAAAACTTAATTACTTTTGTGTTTTATAGCTTAGTTAAAATTACATTATTAGTCTGGCTTTCTTCAAGGCTGTCTTTGGTGATCTTTTTAAGTCCTCATTCTTTGGAGAAGGCCTTACTGAGTATTCCACTGAGCTACCTTCTGAGATAATGATCTGGAAGCTTTGCTCTGAATCCACCTGGTTCAATTCTTCTCTGCTAAATTTTTCTCCATTATCTACTGACTTTTTGCCTTGTATTCTGGTTTTGCTCATGTAGCTCTTACTCCCATCATGATTTCTTTTTATTCTCAAATTTTTGCTTGAGCTTTTAGTCAAGGCATTATACCCTATTTCTTGTGAAACTCCTCCTGTTGGCAAACCAGAGATTGCTGAAGAGCTGTTTGCATTTTCTTTAGGAGGGACCCGACTATCTTCTCTGAGGCTTAACTCTTCAAAGTTCTGAGGTTTGTTCTCTTTATCTTCTTTCTCTTCTTGTCTCATAGAGATGTTATCTTCGTGCTCTTTATTGAGTTCCGAAAAGAAGTCATCAATTTTTTGGTAATTTTCTCGATTAATAATTCCTAATGTCGCTAATTTGTGATTTTGAGAGTCAATATGTTCAAGGTACTTCTGGTAATACCTGTCGCATACCTTTCAGTACTTCATAGCGTGGTTCGGTTCAGGAATCCTGATCTTTTTCTCAATCTTTGGTGTTTGCTTGAGTTTGGTAATAGCTCTGTAGTGGCTACTCTTAATCATATCCATTCTCGCTTTAATTTCTTTGCATTCTCTTCTATTTGGGAATACAGTAACTCCTCTTGGGGTGTTTATTTCAAATAGGTTGACATCTGGCCTGACAACTCCATTTTTGTCAATTCCTCATGGATCAAAGACATGAAATTCTACTCCATTATTCCCTAAACATATAAGCTAGAATCATGATCTCTATTTAGCCCAAACTCTCCAAAGGTTATCTCGCTGGAAATGAAATTTAGTCCAATTGTACAATTTCTGCTTCTAATAAATCAAAAATTAAAAAATCCAAACTCAATAAATTCTTTAAGCTATTTTTACTTACTTTTTGTCCGCTCTTTAACTTTTCTGGATCTGTCAGGGGCTCAACAAAATATATGGTTGATTGCGTTATCTATAAATAGCCTGGAGAGGTTACCTTTAATTTCGAGATTGCCTCTTTTAGCTCTACGGGCAAACTCTCGATTTCTGTCTTCGATTTCTTTGATATTAAAGTTCTTCCCAAGGTAGTATTCAGCTCTTTGTTTTCGGTAGAAGATCAGGAATGACTCAATGTACTTCTCAGGTAATATTAGATTACTTAGTTCAGAGCTGTGAGCATTCTGTCCTTGTAAGAGAATTGAGTATAAGTTAATTCAGTCAATTTCTTTTTGAGTCATTTTTATAGTGATTGTATCATCTTCTTCATCCTCTTTTCACTCTGACTCTTCAGCAGGGATGAAATGAGAAGGGCTGAGTAGGGTCTTCCTACGAGCACTCTTTTTAGCAAGGCAATTTTTGTTGATAGAGCCTTTTTCCCTTAGCTTGAATCGTATCTCAGGTGCAGCTGTAGCTTCATTTTTGAACATCCAATAAGTTGTTTCTCTTTGAACCCTCCCATGGATAATATTTACAAGCTCATCGAGTCTTTCATCAGGGAGTCAGACAACAAAAATGTCAGCCTTTGTGTCAAATCTTTGCTTCAAGTTCTAAAAATTGTCATTATTTATCCCAAAAAAGTTAGGATTTTAAACTTTAGAGCTAGGGATTTATAGAAAATTAACTATAGTTTGCTATTTTTAGTCTACAAATTGACCTAAAGATTTGATAAATTAAGGAACTAAAAATTGTGGGAAATTGTCTTTTTAGAGAAATGCAGCATATAGAGTAGCTCCAAAGTCTACTCCCTCAAACAGTGTTTGCTTCTAAGGTTATCCTAACGTAATACCCAAATTACAGATGGACTCTTTGGAAATTTCTTTCCAAATTTTGAAAATGTGCTTACCCCGTTATACTTGGACATTTCACTAGAAACATCCACAACTTTGTCACGCTTCCATGCTTCTCGGAACAGTAGGTTGTATTTAAACTGCTTTACTCTTTTAACATCCTGATTGTGTCTGATAAAGGCTTGATAGTCTTCCTCCCGTTTGTTGAGAAGACTTCTGAAAATTTGCGGTGCTTGCTTCTTCAGCATCAGGCTTGCAAAAGGGTCTGAAGTTTTGGCCCCTTCTTCAATGTCAGTCAAGTCATATATCTTAGAGCCTGTTCTTCTCGTTTTGGATGAAGAGTTTCTACCAATTATTCTATTACATCGCTCTGTCATGGTGATGTACTTATCTTTAGGAGTCATTAACATTTTAAATTTGCAAATTAATTATAGAGAAGAGCTATTCAATCGTGGGTGTTATAAAGGGGTTTTGGGGTTTTGGGGTTTTGGGG